CAGTGGCGTATGGGCCCGAAATCATGAGGGCAAAAAGTACCAGCGATTTCGTGAACATCTAGCATCACTTCGTAAGCCATTTGTCACCATGTGCACAGTTTATACCTCATCTTCATAATAATATTTTTCACCTTTGAAGGTTTGGTTATGAATAAAATCTGCCTTCATACATCACTGCCCTTACCTTTAACGAATCAGACTGAGTAGTGTACTGACAAGTTCCGCTCACTATCCCATGCAAAAGCCAGTATAGAGAGCAGGATGAATCTATCATTTAACTACGATGTCCATCCTTCAGGGGTCGATTAATTAGCAGCAGACGCCCTTGGGAAGAGAAGAGCACTGACTTGTACATGGGCTCGCTTTCGCGAGTCCTGTTGTAGGCAATACCACTTCAAAGATTCAAAATTTTCCCACGATTCTGGATGGAATTGAAGGGCGTGGCGCATCGCAGTAGGAACTGTTGAACACCGAATGCTTTGTCCTTTTTGCGTTTACCACCTAACATTCCCTTATGTGCACAGGGGTTCGTTTCTCTACGTGTACTACTCGTGTTCACGTCCTCGTGCAACGCCATTACCTGTGAGTGCAAGCGTAGAGAAGGTTTATTATATATCCATACAGAAGGTTTATTATATGTATGACCGTTGGAATATTAGTAATAGCTATCTAGACAACTGGTATCACAAGATCGACACGTTTTCTCATTTTGTTAGGGACTCATTCACTTTATAATCTTCTCTATCACAAATCGCCAACACACCAAGAAGTGCTAATCTCTGTATAATTGACAAAAAGTATTTAGATCAGAATGGAAATCATTACTATCATTTCAAACACCACAAGAGAAACCCAATGGCCTATTCGTTTGCCGGAATTTTAACTTATTCTTATACTATCCTATAAGTTCACATGGTGTTAAAAGGGGTGAATCTTTGCATGGCACTTGCAGCGCGGACTGCTGAGGTACTTTGGCGCAGTGGATAAGTGCTCCACTGCGGTACAATTACCCATGAGTTCGAATCTGACCGATGACGAATTGTGCAGGGGTCCTGAAATCGGCCGCCATGTGAGCCGACGATGCCTTTCAACTTAGAACGTCGGGTTCTACGTTGAGAGGTGTTGGAAAGAAAGCACCCACCCGAGGTCACTTTGTTTTCGCAACTGCAACAACATTGATCTTACCAATGTCCCTGCCAATCGGGACACTGTATCCTCGAGTTTTTCCTTCCCGCTCTTCTCTCACCGAGATCATACCATACTTGCGAGTTTCCCTTGTCCTCCCTCTCCATCTAGCCCCGAAATTGTGATCCATTTTCCTTTTTTGGACCATTCGTGCGAAAGCCATCACTAGCTTTTCATTTAGGCTTGGTTCATTCATTGCAGTCGAAATTTTCATTATTTATCGAAATTTTATCAAAATATGTTTCTATCCCCCAAACTCTCATCTCGTAAATAGTTGTTTTTGTAGTTTTAGTCCACATTTAGCATCCTTTCCTGCTCTCCTTCCTCTGAATAAAAGACACACAATTTGAACACACATGTCCCAGCGTGATAATTTTGTGGAAGAACTATTTCTGAGAAATTCTGACTTCCTAGAAAACAAATCTCTTTTCTTCTGTAACCGTCTACTTATTATATTTATTACACACAACAGATTCATGCAGTTTTAAAGCTGACAATTCAAGCTAATCTCTATATTCTACTTACAACCTACAAACTTAGCTAAGTCTCCTTAAACAATTTCTAAATTATGAATTTGTCCTAATCTCAAAAATTTACTCCTAAGTTATTGAATGCTTTCATTCTTCATCCATAGAGACCCGGGGAAGCACAGGAACTGGGAAACCATGGCGAGCATCCTTCTCCGGCCAGCTATACAAATCGTTCATAGAAGGTTCATATTCATAGTTGTAAACTTGCTGGCGAATGAACATTTCCTGAAACAAAACATATTTGAAGTTATCAACATTCTTGAACATTACCTTGGGAGAAAAAAAACGGACCTTATCCTCAGGTTCAGGATGGAGCGTAGCAAGATTGTTCTCATAAAAGTAATTACCGATCTTAAATGAAAATTGTTTAATTTTATCAAAAACCTATTTATAGAAGTTCTTCCTATTGAAGCATGCATCGCTTGTGAGAAAGGCTCACGGGCCCATAGTATCCTGATATTTACCAGGTTGGCCAGCGATCTAAGTGGTGTTTAAAAGTTTTAATGAAATTAAAGCAACAGTCCCGGCAAATTGAAGCAACAGTCCCGGCAGGGTTCCACCCTTCGACACTAGTACTTCGAAGCCTTCCAGCTCCCTTTCTAGCGGCTTTCCAAGGTGAGTTTTTTGTTCAGTCACACTTCTTATGTTCTTGACTAGGGCTAGCGCATCGTTCCACACCATTAGTGTCGAAGGTAAAAACCCTGCTGGGACTGTTGCTTTAATGAATTCGAATTTGTACTGAAGTTTTTTTTTTATTCTTCATGAAC